TTTACTTCTCTTACAACCCCATCTATAAATATATTAAACAACCACGGTGACATCACACATCCTTGCTAAGGCCTACTTTTACTGGGAAAAAATTTCCCTCTTTCCTACATACTCTAACTTGGCCTCACTATCCTCGTAAAAAATCTTCACTGCTTTCAGTAACCTACCTCCTACACCATACACTTGCAACATCTGCCACATTGCCCCCCTATCCACCCTGTCATACGCCTTTTTCCAAATCCATAAATGCCACAAAGACCTCTTTAGCCTTATCTAAATACTGTTACTTATATGTTTCACTGTAACACCTGGTCCACCCCACCCCTACCTTTCCTAAAGCCTCCTTGTTCATCTGCTATCCTATTCTCCGTCTTACTCTTAATTTTTTTCAATTATAACCCTACCATAAAACTTACCAGGGACACTCAACAGACTTATCCCCCTATAATTTTTGCACTCTCTTTTGTCCCCTTTGCCTTTATACAAAGGAACTATGCATGCTCTCTGCAACCCCTAGGTACCTTCCCCTTTCCATACTTTTTTAAAATAATTGCCCAACCACTAAAAAACTTTTCCCCCTGTTTTTAACTTTCTATCTTTACCCCTCAATCCGGCCCCTTACCCCTTTTCTTTTCCTATGCCTCCGAATTTCCCCCAACTCAAAAAGGCTTTTCCTCACCCCTAAAAGTGTTTTTCCCTCCTTGCCCTTACACGAAAAAAAGCTTCCCTTCTTATCAAAAATTTAGCAATTCCCAAAATATTCCCCCCATCCCCCCAAATACCTCTAACTCCCATTTAAAATTCCTCTCCTATTTTTAATGAAAATCCATTTGTTCTCTGGGCTTTTTAACTTTTTAAAATCTCACTAAAAACTTTTTCTTTTTTTCAACAAAATTTTTTGATAACTTCCCCCACTCTTCATTTGCTCTCTTTTTACTTTGCTTCACATCTTTTAAACTTCTCTCTTTTTTCCTATATCTTCCCCCCTTGCATCACTTTATTTTGAAAAAACTTCATATGCTAATTTTTCTCCCTACTCTCTCTTTACATCTTCATTCCCCAATCGCTCCTCTTCCCCCCGCACCCCTTTCCTGTAAAAACAAACTTCTGTGAAAAACTCTAACCTAATTTTTTAAAAATACCCCACCTCTTGACCCATTTCCTATGCTCTATTAGCCCTCTATCCTCAAAGCTGTTTTTTCTTCCCAAAAGCTCCCCTTTAGTTTATAAACCCTTTACCCCCTCTTCCTGATGCTTCTATTTCCCTTTTTTCCCCTCTACTTTTTCCTTTGTGTAGCTAAACTAGAAAAATGATCTGTATATTGTGGCCCCCCCCTATAAAAAAATGTACATCCTGGTCTATCAACATCTTTTTTCTTCCCAAAACTAATTTTAAACAAACCTGTCATTTCGCCCTACATATATCGTGTTACTTATTTATCCTTTTTTCTTAAAAATATGTATTACCTATAACTAAACCCCTTTCTATACAAAGTTCAATCAAAGGGCTCCCATTATCATTTACACCTGGCACCTCATCTAAATACTGTTCACATAAATGCTTCAAGGTAAATTTTTGATTAACTCATCCCCTACCCACTCTAAAACCTCCTTGCTCATCCTCAATCCTACATTCTGTCTTACCTCTAATTCTTTCATTAATAACCCTACTGTACACTTTTCCTGGTATACTCAGTAAACTAATTCCTCTATAATTTTTACAGTCTATTTTGTCCCCCTTCCCTTTATATAAAGAAACTATGCATGCACTCTGCCAATCCCTAGGTACCTTTCCCTCTTTCATACATTTATTAAACAAAAATACCAACCACTCTAACACTATATCCCCCCTGCTTTTAACATTTCTGTCATGATCCCATCACTTCCCGCTGCTTTACCCCCTTTCATTCTACGTAATTCCTCACGCACCTCCCCCACACTCTCATCCTGTTGTTCTTCACTCCTAAAAGATGGTATATCTCCCGCATGAAATTACCATCTCCCTTTCTTCGTCGAAATTTAAAAGTTCCTCAAAATATTCCCACCATCTACCCAATACCTCCATCTCCCCATCTACTAACTCCCATACTCTGTTTTTAACTGACAAATCCATTCTTCCCCTAGGCTTTCTTAACTTGTTTCTCACTCCAAAATTTTTTCTTCCTTTCATTAAAATTTCTTGACATTGACTCTCCCACTCTATCATCTGCTCCCCTTTTGCACTCTCTCACCATTCTCTTCACCTTTCTTTTACTCTCCTTATACTCTGCTCTTCTTATAACACTTATGCTTTGTAAAAACCTCTCATAAGCTACCTTTTTCTCTTTTATCACACCCTTTACTTCTTCATTCCACCAATTACTCCTCTTTCCTCCTTCACCCACCCTCCTTTAACCACAAATTTCTGCCCCACATTCTAATACTGCATTTTTAAAACTATTCCAACCCTCTTCAACACCCCCCCCCCACACACACACTACTCATACTTGCACTATCCCACCTTTCTGCCAATAGTTGCTTATATCTCACCCGAACTTCCTCCTCAGTTTATACACTTTCACCCCTCTCTTACTTGTTGTTGCCATTTTCCTCTTGCCTCATCTACCTCTTACTCTAACTGTAGCTACAACTAAATAATGATCCAATATATCATTTGCCCCTCTATAAACATGTACATCCTGGAGCCTACCCATCAACCTTTTAGCCACCAATACATAATCTAACAAACTACTTTCATTATATGTTATATCATACCTTGTATATTTATTTATCATCTTTTTCATAAAATATGTATTACTTATTACCAAACCTCTTTCTACACACAGCTCAATTAAAGGCTCCCCATTTTCATTTACCCCTGGCACCCCAAATTTAGCTACTACTCCCTCCACAACATTTTTACCCACTTTAGCATTGAAATCCCCAACGACAATTACTCTCACACTTGGTCCAAAACTCCCCATGCATTCACTCAACATTTCCCAAAATCTCTCTCTCCTGTACACTTCTCTCTTCTCCAGGTGCATATACGCTTACTGTAACCCATTTTTCACATCCAACCTTTATTTTACTCCACATAATCCTTGAATTAATGCATTTATACTCCCTCTTTTCCTGCCATAGCTTATCCTTCAACATTATTGCTACTCCTTCTTTAGCTCTAACTCTATTTGAAATCCCTGACCTAATCCCATTTATTTCTCTCCACTGAAACTCTCCCACCCCCTTCTGCTTTGTTTCATTTAAAGCCAGGACATCCAGCTTCTCATTCATAATCATCTCTCTTATCATTCGCACAACATCCACGCACATTCAGACATCCCACTTTGACAGTTTTCTTCTTATTCTTTTTAGTAATCATTACAGGAAAAGGGGTTACTAGCCCATTGCAGCGCTGTATAGCCCTTGTGGCTTAGCGCTTCTTTTTGATTATAATAATAATAATACTAGCCCATTGTTCCTGGCATCTTAGTTGACTTTTACAACACTCATGGCTTACGGAGGAAAGATTCTTATTCCACTTCCCCATGGATATAAAAGGAAAAGTAATAAGAACAAGAACTATTAAGATAAAATCAAAGAAAGCTCAGATGAGTGTGTATAAATAAACATGTACATGTATGTGTAGTGTGACCTAAGTGTAAGTGGAAGTAGCAAGACATGCCTGTAATCTTGCATATTTACGAGACAGACAAAAGGTACCAGCAATCCTACCATCATGTAAAACAATTACAGGCTTTCATTTTACACTCACTTGGCAAGACGGTAGTACCTCCCTGGGTGGTTGCTGTCTACCAACCTACTACCTCTTTTCTATAAAATGTATTTTTTGTTAATATTTCCCATAAGAAATGTAAATCTAATTAATCCGTTCCAGACACCCAAAAATTTTAACAAAAAATACATTTTATAGAAAATAACTGTAGGGTCACCCTGCCTCGGTGGGAGACGGCCGACTTGTTGAAAAAAGAAAAAAACTGTAGGGTTATGTACAAACTAGAGCATACAAAAACCGAGGTTCCACCCTATATTCTAAAGGCAATGTGTGGTGTAAGTATTATGCAGAGAATTTGTAGTGTGAAAATTAGGAGGTGTCGAGTTACTAAAAGTATAGTTCAGAGGGCAGAAGAGGGGTTGTTCAGGTGGTTTGGTCATTTAGAGGATGGAGCAAAATAGGATGAATTGGATGGTGTATAAATTAGTTGTGGAGGGGAGGAGAGGTAGGGGGGTTATCCTAGGAAAGAATGGAGGGAGGGGGTAAAAGAGGTTTTGTGTGTAATGGGCTTGGACATGTAGCAGGCATGTATGAGCATGTTAGATAGGGGTAAATAGAGATGAAATTGTTTTTGAGCTGTTGGAGTGTGAGTAAGGTAATAATTTGTGAAGGGATTCAGGAAACCTGTTAGCTGGACTTGAGTCCAGGAAGTGGGAACTACAATGCCTGCATGTTAAAGGAGGGGTTTGGGATATTTGCTGTTTTGAGTGACATCTGAACTGTCATATCTGAGCACCTCTGCAAAAACAGTGATTATGTGTGAATGATGGTGAAATTGTTTTTCTCTTTTGGGTCACCGTGCCTTGGTGGGAGATGGCCAGTGTGTTGAAAAAAAGAAAAAAAATTTTGGGTTGTATTATATTTTGCTACATGTTTGTATTGCATAATCAGTTTTTCCAGTTGAGATAAACTATTTTTTTTTTCTTTTTTTACAGTCCAGTAAATGGGTTTTGGAAAACTATGAATTTTCTTTTTTTCCAGTGTAAGTAAATGTAATAGGCCAATTACATTACTTGGTCCTATCATACAGAAACTTAACTTGATATTAAGGATTTTTCTATGAGTTAGTTTTAATAGGCATTAGTTTCATTAAATCCTTTTGATTGGTATATGTGATGAAGACTACAATGTAGAGAACTTTAAAATTTACTAATCAAACCAACATAAATTGTTAAATTGGAAAGGTGATCTGGTAATTAATATTAAATATTGATGTTTTCTGTAGGCAGCGGTGTCCATTCTGAAGCAAGAATACAAAGTGAGTGAAACAGACCTGCACCAGGCCCTTTTATTAGCTCTGAAAGTGATGAGCAAGACGTTAGACATGACAAAACTCAATGCGGAGAAGTTGGAACTAGCCACACTAGTCAGAAACGACAATAAAACCGAGATAAATGTTATCTCGGTGGAAGAAGTGAAAGAACTAATTAAAGAGCATGAACAAAAAGAGGCCGAGGCTGAGGCAGCCAAACAAGATAAGCAGTCAGGCTCAGGAAAGTCATCAGATAAGTAATATTACTGTAATGTGCAGGGAAGTAAAGTTATCAGATAAGTAATAGTGCTGTAATGTGCAGGGAAGCAACATAATGATGTCATGTGTTTGTTTAGTAATGTCACTTTTTAATAAGTGATAAATTATTGTGTATTGGATGTCATATTATTTTTGCTTGTGTTAATGTATGCCATTTGTCTGCCTAAAATGTTTTGAAGAATGTATAAGAATTAGGGTTTTCTTCTCATAATGGATTCTTTTAATAAAAAAAGGTAGTACTTGAAATATTGTTTCACTGCTCCTGTGTGATTGAGTACTTAACCCTTTACTGTGTCCAACGTACTAGTATGCACAATTTTTTGTACTCGCATATCTGCCACCTGTCAATATTTTTGCCCTCAGAACAACTCTTTGGGTCTCTTAAATCTATTCATACATTCGAAAAAAAATCTATGGCCAGCAGGGTCCACACAATTTATGGTTAACTACTTAGGTGGTGATTGTTTTCAACGCACTGGTGTGCTTCACTAACGAAAGTAAACAAAGGAACCAGCTGTTGTTCCACCACCAGCTTCCCTACCAGCAAATAGGGTGTGTAAGTGGCTCAAAGATGATTTCTTTCTTTCAACACACCGGCTGTATCCCACCGAGGCGGGGTGGCCCAAAAGGAAAAATGAAAGTTTCTCCTTTTACATTTAGTAATATATACAGGAGAAGGGGTTACTAGCCCCTTGCTCCCAGCATTTTAGTTGCCTCTTACAACACGCATGGCTTACGAAGGAAAAATTCTGTTCCACTTCCCCATGGAGATAAGAGGAAATAAACAAGAACAAGAACTAGAAAGAAAATAGAAGAAAACCCAGAGGGGTGTGTGTATATATGCTTGTACATGTATGTGTAGTGTGACCTAAGTGCAAGTAGAAGTAGCAAGACACCTGAAATCTTGCATGTTTATGAAACAGACAAAAGACACCAGCAATCCTACCATGTAAAACAATTACAGGCTTTCGTTATACACTCGCTTGGCAGGATGGTAGTACCTCCCTGGGCGGTTGCTGTCTACCAACCTACTACCTACCCAAAGATGATTTATTCAGTCCAAATTTATTACAATTATACTAACAGTGGAACTCAGTCATAAATCACACTATGTATATTTAACCCAGGAAAGTCAATGTGAATAATTTCTGTGTTTTCATGAGTATTATGTTCTTATCCACAGGGTTGATAAAATGTTTAAATTTACAGTATTTAGGAAAGCCATGAATGTGTGTTCACATATCCACTATTACTCCAACCATGAAACAAGTAAAAAGAAGTGTCTTTCTCACTGTTTTTGAAAGCTTAGTGTGTAGCCTTGAGTTTTATACTCTAAAATAATTGTAATATTATAAGTATTCATTGTACATCAGCTGTATAAAACCAAAATAGTAAAAAAGTAGAATAAAAAAAATTACATACATCATATATATATAACCCAGTAAAATAAGTCACTATGATTTAAAATCAGAAACAATTGTAATGTTATAAGTATTCCTTGTACGTATATAACTTTAAAAGACCATATAGTAAAACAAGAAAAAACTATGCCATACATACAGTGTATATATAGTGTGCATATATTCAAAGTGAACAATGTTAGGCAAGCATCCCCGATGTTTGAAGCTCTAAAACACCTTGAAACTGGTGTACAGTGTTAAATATTAAGAGCAATTAGAAACTGGTGTACAGTGTTAAATATTAAGAGCAATTATAAAAGAAATGATCACATCTTAGCATCAATAACTGTAAAATGTAAATATTATTGGTGCTTGTACACTGCAGTTACCAATAAGTGATAATTTTTTCACCAATTTCAACACACCATAAAATAATAAGTTTTTTATCAAATTTCACTCAATTTACTCTTATTCAATTCAGAAAAATGCACTATCAATTTGAAAGTTTTTTTTTTTTTCAAAATCTTGCCACATCACCAGGGTTTTTTCCCTCTTAATAATGAAATAATCACTATAAAGTTCTATATTCAGGTGTAAGACTTGCACATAGCTTCTTGTACACACACTACTCCATCTCACTTAATTTTTTCTGCATATTTTCAGCATGAAATTTGTAATTCTGTAATGGAAGTGAGAGAATACTTTTACTTAAACTGAATAATAATAATACAATCAAATTAAGTTCATGGATAAGCTGAAGAAAATTCACTTGTTTCAAGGCTTGTGAAAGTGTCCTTACTAACATTATTGTATTCATGAGAAGGTATTTAACCCATAAGCATCATATAGTGCCTGAAAAATAGGAAAAAAAAAAAACACCCTTCCTAATAACAACCAAGACTAACATGTTCACCTCAAGGGGGCAGGTTCCTTGATGGAGCAAGAAGGCTTTTGATCTAAGGAGTTGGACCTTATATTCTTTCTCAGAACAAACGTTAATGCCATTCATTCCTTACCCCCATCTTTCCCATTTTCAACCCCCCTTTTCTCCATCCCTTCCCTTTCCTATGATCAGACTTTGGGGATCACCCCTCAGAAATTATAGCTCCTGGATCAGTGGGGGAGTGTATTGTAGATTATTCTGGGAAAAGTGAATGACACTTCTTTGGAGGCAAGCCTTAGCTTTATTTGGGTTATTTGTACAGGCAGTGTGTCTAGGTGGCCTTAAAGCCAAGCCCCCTGGTGAGGGAGAGAGAGGAGGCACTTCTTGCTCACAGACTGGCCTCTAAGCTAGAGAGGTGCAGTGAAGTGAAGGTAGGCCAATTCCTGTTGACTGATGGCAGCCCCAGCCTAGTAATAATCTACCTAGTGGCATAGCGTGAAATATGAACAGGGCTTACATCACTTGGGCATGCTACCCACGGTCGTCCCGACCACGTCAAGTGACTAAATAAAACACTTGTAGGAACTGGGTACTAGCACGAAATACAAAACATATATACATGGGTCAAAAAAAAACTTCCTTCCAAGGAGGGAAGAAAAAAAGGAGTATGCTAAAAACAGTGTGTGATAACACAGTGAGGCACTGTGGGCATCATTACATGCAGAAACTATTGTAGGAAGAACCGTGCCCTCCTGCATTTGGACAGGCCTGCAGATACTGCAACACATCGGTAGACATCGCTGCGTCTGAGCTACATAACAGGGTATGGTATTATCGGGGCTGGTGAAGCGAAGTTGTGGTGGTGCCCGCAAGTGAAGCATCATCAGAACTCGGCATCTGGGCAGGACTTCTGGCTGTGTAACTCAGGACTTGCGACTAGTATTATCACAGGGACAGTCAGTGCTGGGAACTCAGTGCAGTACAGCAACGCAGGCGAAACATTGTCAGTGAGGATTCCTAGCATACCACTACTTCCCCGTACTTAGTATCATCACTGCTACTTCCACTACCACATTACATCTACTACTATTTCTCCACTTCCTGTCTTTCTCCTGCCCCTGTTCCCCTCTCTTATATATACTGGTTTCCTCAACTTCATGTGTTAGTGTGACTTGTCAATGGTCCAAGTTGGACCGAAACATCGTCATCAGCTTCTTTCTCCTGTGTGCAGGTTATTTGTTTATTATGTTGCATGTTGTGTTCCCATTTATGCATACTCTTGTCTGTCTTCCATGCCTTGACCTAGAAGATAATTTCTCCTCTATCATGTGCTGTTACTTTCTTCTTCAGTCTTCTGTGTGGAACTGTCAAAAACTGTATTGAAGTTCGTGTATATGTTGACAAAATTCCCTGGTCCCAATTCAGCACTATTTCTTGATCGAAACTGTCTGAAATTGCTGTGGTTGTGCAGTAGATTAATTCAGGTTGTTACTTATCAACAGCAACCATCCAGGGAGATACTATCATCCTGCCAAATGAGTGTGAAACAGAAACTTGTAATTGTTTTACATGATAGTAGGATTGCTAGTGTCTTGCCTTTGTCTCATAAACATACAAAATAACTGGTACATCTTCCTACTTCTACTTACATTTAGGTCAGACTAAGCATGCATGTACACGTATATGATACACATGACACACTAATCTGATTATTATTATTATAATCAAGGGGGAAGCACTAAACCCAGAGGATTATACAGCGCCTGAGGGGAATGTGGAAGGCATTCAGGCTTAATTCGGGGAACTGGAGCACGGATCCAATTCCCTAAATCAAGAGCCCCTCACCAACATCAAGGAACCTTCCTTGAGGGGCACACTAATCTGAGTTATTTATTTTCTTAGTTTTTGTTTTATTTCCTTTCATCTCCATGGAAAAGTGGAAATGAATCTGTCCTCTGTAAGACATGCCTGTTATAAGGTGACTGAAATGTTGGGAGCAATGGGCTAGTAACCCCCTTCTCCTGTATAAATTACTAGATTTATATACGAAAAACTTTATGAAATTGAGATGTTTGAATGTGCATGGATGTAATGCAGATAAGAAAGAGATGATTGTCTATGCTAGGAATGATAAGAAGCTTGATGACCGTGCTCAAAGCAAAACAAAGCTGAAGGGGGTAGTCAAGTCTCAGTGAAGAGAAATAAATGGGATGAGGTCAGGAGTATCTGAGAGAGTTAGAGCTAAGGAAGGGGTAGCAATAATGCTGAAGGGTCAGTTATGTCAGGAAAAGTGGAAATATAAATGTATAAATTCAAGAAAATAAGGGTCGGATGCAAAGTTGGTTATGCGTACATTAAGTTTATGCACCTGGGGAAGAAAGTAGGTCACATTAACCCTTAAACTGTTCAAACAGATTTACGTTCACATGCGTAGTGCTCCAAAAGTAGATCTACGTTTTTTTTTACATGTTTTCAAATATAACAAAAAAAAAAATCAACATTTTTTACATACTTTCAAATGTTGAAAAAACGTAGATCTACGTTTGGACAGTTTAAGGGTTAAATGTTTATGCACCCAAAGAAGAAAGGAGTGTAGTGGAGAGAGAGATTTTGGGAGATGGTAAGTGTTGGGGAGTTCTGAATTAAGTGAGAGAGCAATGGTGGTAGGGGACCTAAATGCAATTGTTGTAGAGGATGTAGTAGGTAAGTTTGGAGTGCCAGGGGTAAATAATAACAGGGCCTTTGACTGAACTTTGTTGAAAGAGGTTTGGTAATAGGTAATACATATTTTAGGAAAAATAGGATAAATAATTTTAAGGGATATAGGGCATAATGGCAATAATTTGCTGGACTATGTATTGGTGGATAAAAGGTTGGTGGGTAGACTTTTGGATGTGCATGTTTATAGAGGGGCAGTAGATATATCAGATCATTATTTAGTTGTAGCTACAGTGAAAGTAAGA